GAACCGGAAGATACTGGCACACCCCAAGCCCAACGAGGGGTTCATTTCCAAAATAGGTAAAGAACTCCTACAACTCAGGATTAAAAAAAAAAAAAAATCGAACATGGCAAAAGACCTAAACAGACACTTCTTTGAGACAAAAGGTCCCTAGCGCATGGATTAGGCTGGTCACAGCTTGCCGTGCAGGACCATGAATCACGGTGGCAGCACAGGCTGGATGTGGCAAGGTGGCATGAACATCTACTTTGGTTCCTTGTGCCATGCAAGAGCAAGAAAAACTTCCCTTGAGTTACTGAAATGTTGATGTTACTACAGCAATTACACAGATTTAACTGAACTCCTACGTCTAGCTGAATGCAAGCAGTCCCCACCAAGAGAATGACAATTGCCAGCTCTTCACAGAATGTGAACCCAGCCCCCAGTTAAGTGTCCACAGTCCCTGGGCCTGAAGTGTGACAAGAGTTAGCGAGAAATCTTAAAACCAGCGGCAGGGGCTGCAGCTACAAGGTCCCAGACTTCAACTCGAACAGTGCAGGGCTTGGGAGTCTCACAGCACCCCCATTTCCTCCGTCTTCGAGTGACTTTGCTCTGAACCCCTCGGAGAGTATCAAGACGAGCCTCCTCTCCCGCACCCAGGACTGGGTTCTCTCCCCACCCCCTCCTGTACGCTCTGCTCAGGTGGGTTAGTCACTGTAAGTCCTTACCCAGGAGGGGTGAACAGGCAGCAGCCTTTAGAAGACAGCGGTCTCAGGGACCCACCACTCGTCCACCCCTGTGCCTCAGTTCCCAGATGCCTATTTCAAGGGCCAAGTGGGCTACGTGGATATGGCATGTGGCCCTGAAGGAGATCCCCCTGCTACTCTCAAATGGGAAGAAACAGCCCAGGCACGGAGAGACCTCCAGCTGCGTCTCTCCAGCTGCGCGAAAGCACCTACTGGCGGGGTGAATGTTCTCTTTGCCCCCCAGCTCACTACTCAGGGTGTGCTCTACTGAGCTCAGGTGGCTGCATTTAACAGGGACAGCAGAGTACAGGAGAACAAGAGGAAATATCTAGGGATAGTCTAGCCAAAATGTTCCCCGGGGCTGGAGAAAACACAATGTACACTCTAAGCCACCTCTCGTCAAAACATACAAACTCAACCGCTTTGTGTTCTTGGAGGGGTCCTGTTGGTTACTGGTGCATGTTCTAAAAAACTCCTCTCTTCTGATAATGAAAAGCAGATTTTCACTCCTCAGTGCAGGGTAGGGGCCAGGGTGTGATGGAAGCAGTCAGACTGCTGATGGGCCTGAGGGGCGGGCAGGGCTCAGAAAGCACTTTCAGCGAGGGCCGGTGTGTGGGTCCCACTCGCGAGCTCAATGTGCATCTTGAGATTTTTGTAATGGCAGGTTTCAATTGTGGTTTTCTTACATTATTTTAAAGTACAGCAATAGCAGAATCCTCTCAGCCGGCCACGACTGTCCCTTGGTTCTCACATTAAGTGCCTAAGGCTGAAGAATGGCGCTCAGCTACCAGAGCGTGAGCACGGCCTCAAATGGGCAGTCTGACTCGGCTGGGGAGCCGGGTCTGCTGGCACCACGAACTGGAGATAAACATGGCAGAGCACATGAAGGAGGTGGCTGCTGAGGCCCTGTGGCGTGGTCGCATCAGAAACACGATTACTTCATTCATCAACGTTTATTGGGCGCCTGTTCTGTGCAAGGCACTATGCTAGGCGCTGGGGGAGATACAAAGGTCAATCCGACGAGACTGCCCTCGAAGAGCTTACAGTCTAGTTTAGGAGCACAAAGTCTGTGGAGGAGATATTTAAGGGGTAACTAACCTCGCCCCACCCACCCCACAAAAAGAAAATGAAGAGAGGCAGGGAAAAAGAAAAAATTAAGTCTACACTTGGTTTTATCCATTTTCCTTTAGTTTAGCAGCTTTACATTAAAAGCATGAATCTGAAAGTCTTTTTAAAATGCATCCTTTTACTTGTAAACAAAATTCATTTTCATTAGAAAAATGCTATTTACTGACATTAAGAAAATCCTAAAATCTATCTTCTGTGTTTTCATGAATTTTTTTAAGAATCTATACTTGTGAAGTAAACAGTTTCCCAAACTGCATCAAAAGCGTGCAACTTTTTAGAACTCTTCTGTAAGCCACAGGCCGTTGCGTACAATACACACAGGCTTTGTCAGGAGCAAGGAGAGCTTCTGAGCTGCACGGACGTTCACCACCAAAGTTCACAGCTTATGGATGTTCCCACATAAACTCATTTCGTGTCAATTCAAATTACTTTAAAATAACATCTCCATTAACTTACATAGCCCAAAACTCCAAAGCTGTACTCAGAAGAGTGAAAAACAGAAGTCCATTGTGAACTTAGAAGTCCATCTCTTAGCTGGCCAAGGAAGTAAATTAATTCCGGGAATTCAAAATAACCACCTTTCTTATTATATACTGCAAAGAATTGCTGCAATTTTTGTTATTTCTTTTAAGGAAATACCAACTAAATGTAAATGAGGGAACAGAAAACAGACTTGGCTGTTGGTAGTTAAACTGCTAGAAAAATAGGGTATGTGAGCACATTTTAAAGTTAACTCCTTTCTACAAACATTACTTTGTAAGTACCTTACAATTAATTCCCTTTCCCCCAAAGTCACCTCTGGCCTTAGGTATTTCTGATCACACTCAGGCTTCCAGAAGTGTGCCTCTAGGAGACCTCTTCAAAACACTGACATCAACATGTATGAGATGGTCACCACACTGAATTCATTATTTCTTTTAATGTAGAATAGTGGTAAATAAAGCTGTGCACACCCAAAAAGGAGTTCCTGAGATGGAGCTTCTTACTCCCTTATTGGGTCATTCTTGTCTAGAGCAGTTTCCCAGGAGGAAATTCACTCTCATCCTTTGTGCCAGGGGGGGTCTACTGCTCATCCATGTCAGCCTCCACCAGAGAGGTGGGCTCGTCAAGCTTTAACTCAGTGCATTCTCACATTCATTCCCACCAGCCCAGCGGGCCCACTTACACGGAGTCAAGTGAACGGGGCTAAGTACGCCGGCACTCTGCTGCTTGTGCGTCCAGCGTCGTTGCACAAGTCTTCCCGTACGAAAACGGGCCAACTTCTAAGCCTTAACATGTAGACATTTGCAGTTTCCATGGCAGTCGGGGCATAAACTGTATGAAGCTAAATTTTCTGGGTATAAAATCTAACGGAAATAAAGTCAGATCCATGTGATTTATGCCCTGGGCTTTTGATTATCTTCCTGTCTGCACATTACTACGGGGCTTTCTGTTCAACTACTATACAATACATGTTACAGGCTTGTACAGTGTAAGAGAATCACGACTTTACAGTCCAACTATGTCACTTTCCAGATAAAAAACGGAGACACTGAGAAACGTAACAGAAAAGCTGGGAGGCTAACCCAGTCTGGTATGCATGATACTGTGAGCTTCCACCTTTCTGTTCACTCAGTCAGACACACGCTTTCGTGGGACAGGTACAACCACATACTGTAACTGTTAAAACAGATGTGCTTAAATGGTGAAGCATTTCACATGAGGTAAATATAACAAATGTTAGCTAATAACTTACACTACACTTACAAAATATTAGCCCTTTTTGGTTACTGCTCAAAGTGTAACTACAGTGTTTGGTCTTGTTTCTAAGGGTTGCTGATTTGTCTCTGCTCTTTGAGGATGCTTACCTGCCCACTGCAGAAAAAAATGTTATCTATTAATCTATTATATTGAATCATACCTTACTATGTATTCAATCACCAATTTTTATAAACATCTGGATTCTTAGACTTTCAAATACAAGGAAAATCTGTTCATGAAGAGAATGAAATGAGGTATTACCTCTACATATAAGTTGTTGGCAGCTTGAAAATTAGTCCCTTCCATACAAGTAGGAAACCTCTTCTAGTGGCAGACAGTTTCCAGGGTCACAAAAATATGGTGAAACTTTAAATAAGTTTTGACTTGTCTATAATCTGAGGTATAAGAGAAAGGAAGAGAATCAGATCCGAGGTGCAAGTCTCCACCACACCCCTTGTGAGCTGTCTAACCCTGAAGCAACTCAACTAACGTACAGGTTTCATTGTCTTCACTTTCAAAGAGCTAACATTTGCACTACTTACCTCATTAGATTACTGAGGGTAACATACAAGAAGTATGGGAGCGTGCTTACAAATGGAAAAGCACACCAACAACCAGCACTGTCCCAATAATTACTAAAACGTGGACCTACAGAAAAATCTTCACCATCTGCCACTCAGTGCAGCGGGACGTGCACACCAGGACAATCCGAAATCAGAGGGCTCCATGCAACACTGTTAACGTCAGCGGCAGCAGTGTACAAAAATTACACGAAGAAATAACACAAAGGAATATTTTTTAGAGTAAGCACTGAAAGACACACATTTGGTTGGCTTAAGCGACTTGAAACTGAGTTAGAATGATGTACAGCATATAAAGAGGTATTTAGTCTTTAAGTGGAGAAAGCTGCTAGTCACCTGAAAGAAAAACAAGCATTATGGAAATTCCTAAGACAAATGGACTAAAATTCCTTCGCTTTTGGCTACTTTGTAAACCAGTCTTCTCACAAAGAGCCTCATTTAATTTTTCCAGTAATCAGACATACCCTAAGAGAGAATGTGGACTTCTAAATCGATCAATGTGTACTTGCATGAAAGCAAGAGAGTTCTTAGGCACCGAAAGTTGTACCAACCCTTCCTCTCACTTTGTATTCCATGAAGAATGATGGAAACACAGGAAACGTCATGTGGAAGTTTCTTACCAATCCTTATTATGATTCTTTTAAGATAACACTCCATTCTGGTGGCCTTTGTTGTGTTTATAAAATTAAGCTTAAGTAGCATGTTTTAACCTTCCCTTTGACACTAGTTCATCTACACGCCCCATCCACAAAATAATTAACAACCAAAAACAAATGAAGATACCAGGGAAGAGATCAATGAAATATGATTCATTAAGTATAAAAATATGTTGTTTCAAATTCAGAATAATTTAATAACTCTTCGTTATTTCATATGTATCTGGAAATGGGACCGATACATGTCCTGATCCTGTCACAAGAGGTAGAATTCCAGCATTTGGTACGACGTTCCAAGACAGAGTTAGCGTGACATTCCTGTTTCCCCTATATATATAAAACAAAACAAAATAAACGGGAGTCACCAAAAACATACACAATTTGATAAAATATTTTAATTCAAGCACTCAGATATCAAATACTTTAAGTGGAACCACAAGTTACTCCGTTAAAGCTACCCCTAAGCTCTTGCGTATCCTCTGTGCAACTGTGACGTACCTAAAGTCACAGCAGCTACTGGTGCTATCAGCCAAAAGGAGCATGTGCGTAAAAACACAGAGAATTTCGTGAAAAGAAGTCTGGTTTGAGACCTAAGACACTGATTTGAGACCTATTTCTATTGTCCTCTAGATGGACAAACCTGAACAAATCAAAGTTTCTCCTGGTCAATAGGTTTGGGTAAAATAGCTTTCCCCCGAAAACCTTTCCAGTATTTACCCACAAGGATCTAAAAACAGCTCCAAAGATCAACTGTTCTAGAACCTACACTTTGTATAAAGGAAATGAGGGTCAGAGAAGTTAAGAGAACAAAAACTAGAAACCCTAGCCACCTCCAGACCACCAGTTTCCTCCTGAAAGCACCCAAGGCGAGTTCCTCAACACCCTAAAGGGGCCCGCTGCCTGTCACAGACCTACTCCCCAGGGCAGGGCCCTGCTCCCTAACACTCAGAGCCAAGCTACAGGTTTAAATTTCACACCTTACATTTTATATATTACAAGAGCCCTAAGCACTTATCTTAGAGCCCAATGCGTACGGCAGGATTTCCACCCAATCTGGGTTCAGATCAGTTTAAATACTTTGTCTCTCAATTTTCCACTTTTAGCCCCTAATATTTTTCTTCAGAATAAAAAGTACATCTTTCTCTCCCATTCAGATTTCATTAAACATGAAAAATGAGAAAACAGCAACTCACTTGAGACCATTTCCATCGTCAAAGAAAAAGTATTTTGTTTTCATGTCTTTCAGCAGCAGCTTCGGGTTATCACCCCTCAGAACGATCTTGTCCCAAAGGACAACTTGGTTCAGAGCCTAAATTAAAGTGAAAATTTCATTAGCTAATTCCCCAGAATATCATCCTTGTTACTTCAAATTAAATGTAGTATGGGGTAAGCAAATAGCTTATATTAATGAATTCATTTTGAAGGAATTGCTACAATCTTAAAACATAATAAATAGAAACTAGTGGAAACTTATCTGAAGAGGGCTAATGTTTCTATAGGAAATCACTCCTGCTAAAGCAACTGTATTATTTGGGCCCTTAATATAAGATTTTAGACCTATAAAGCTATATAATTGTGAGGTCTTGAAAGAAACACAGGAATTAGAATTCTCAAGTGGGGAGCTTTGTTTCAAATCATTTTTCCTGTAAAATATCTGAGATCCTCCAGGAAAGAAAAGTAACCCCATTTCCATTATGCTCTGAATACAGGTCACTGCTGCCAGATTACCTCATGAGAACGCATGTGTCAACCAAGGCTTTTAAGTGATCCAGGAACTAATAAAGAAATGAATCCTTTGTAATATAGTTCCCTTTGAATTGGAAAAAAAAATAAGCACATCATTATTTTATTATGGCAAGATTCTGTTTTGATGGCTCATAACTCAGTTTCCTTTGGAGGACTGAGGGCCATGGAAAGCAGAGAAAGCACATTTGTGAGCACTACTAAATCCCACGATATGTATCCCCATGAAGCTATCAGCTGTTCGCTTGTGAGACCAATTGCTCAGCTGCTTTAAAAAAAAGCAGGCCCAGTGTTTCTGAGAGTTCAAATCTTCGCCCTAAACTACCGACAACATTAAACAGAAGCACTAAAACTGAAAATCAACACAGAACCAAAGAAATTCCAAAACATGACGCTCCCTTATCTATATTTTTTCATTCACCAGAGCAGTAATCTGTCAACTCCGACCTGTGGCAGCTGCCTGTCACGCAGGGGTAAGCCATAATTATGAATGCAACTTAGGTTTGTAAACTCATTACCACCCAGGTTGTGACAGGCTCACTTACTTTGTTGAGACCTATAGAAATAGGTATATTTCCAGTTGTCATTCTGATTTTTAAAATAACTTTTTCTGTTTATTTTTAACATTGCTGACTGTCAAGGACAGGAATCAAAACTTAGTCAACTCAATGTTCCGCAAGCCTAACAGAATACCGGACATAAAAGATAGGCCCAATATATATGTACAATGAATTTAAGTGCTAAAAATTCCAGTTAACAGGTAAAGTTTGATTAATTTCTAGTCCCTTGAAAATGTACACTTAACTACAGAAGTAAAATTCTCTCTTAACAAATGCTCAACAGGATACACTGATAACAAACTGAAGTTAGCTCAGGTAAAAACAACATAAGCGTATTTATCTCCATATAGTTCACCTTCCTATTTTAATTAATCTCTTTTCTAGCAATATTCTGAACAGATGTACCTTAACCCTTAAGACGAGCTACCTCAATAGTCTAAAATTGGAATAATAAATTTCAATCACAAACTAATAGTTTTAACTCTGTTGTAATAGGTTTCAACTTACTGACTAATAGCTTATAATTCTTGTAACCTTCTGATAAACTATGATTTATGATTAAAATAATTATTTAAGAACTCAAATTGGTAAATCCCATACAACTCCGAAACAAATACCACTTCTCAGGAGAGACTACTTAATTATTGGTATATGGCTCAATGAGACTATCAAAATAGCTCACATGTATTTAAAAAATATAAATACGTCAATGAATTTTTAAATCTCAGATAATTAAAAATTAATTGTATCTTTACACTTTTGACTACATATCTGGGTAAGAAGAACTGTAAGCATGGGTCACAAATTTTGCTGATTCAAATACCTTGCCGTCTATCTCTCTGGTGGCAGCTGTGGAGAGAGAAAACTTTAGCGTAAAACTACTGTAACTGAACAGCAGTACTATCTCCCACACTTTCGGACACTCCTAGTTCAGCAATGGCTGTGTCTGTGGAAATGGTTTACGATTACAAATTATCTGAGCATAGATCACAAACTATGCATCTTAGTTATAAATTATCAATGTCTACATAATATACATGTAATATATTACTAGTTGAATGTCACTGACAGTGAACACAAATTTGCATGTCAAACTTTTCTGAACTACTGCTTAATTTTTTCAATCAACTATTTATTAGATCCTTCTAAGCACTTTTTGGTTTTTACTCCTTTAAATGGCCGAGCAGCTCAAAAGAGGAAAGGTGGAGCAAGTCTGCCATTTTCCTGTTACTTATGTATGCGTGGGCCATTATCTTTAACCTGTGACTTCTTGGCATTTTATAGTCATTCTTTCCATTTTGTGAGGATGGTTTATTTATTTTAAAACTAGCAGCCCAACATGCTGAAAAAGAACCAGATATGCCTGAATGTGGGCAGTGACCAAATTAATTAAACAGTTCAGGCACTGCTAAATAAAAAGTTGACAACTCTTCTGAAATTGAGAAATGAAGAAACAGTAGCTCTCAACTGTCAGCCTTACAGACCTGTGGGTTACCGCCACTCTGGAGACCACAAAGCTAGAGAGCTACAACAACAAACACGGAAAAGAAAAAGAGGGTGGCTACCAAAAAGATTCCTAGTAGCATCTCTGTCCCAAAGGCTTATGATTCTTTTAAACAGCTCAGGTCAGCTATGTTGAGTCCCTAAAGGTCAGACACTTTTATAAAGATTGAGGCTTAAATATGTTAAAAATGTTTTTCTCTGTGTATATATACTTACATTGTTTTTTGTGGAATATTCTGCTGATAAATAAAGAAACAACTGCTTAACATTCCAATCAAATATATTTTCTAGATGTGAACAAATTAAGGAATATATAAATCATAAACGTTTAACTTTTAAACAGCTCTCATTTTTTATATTTGATTTTCCAGAGCAACACTGCTACTAAAATAGGGCCCAGAAACAAACTGATCCGCTGATTTACTACACGTAATGATCTATACGATACAAATAAAGCTAGCATATTTCCCAGTCAAAAAAAAATCAGTTTGTGATTATCAGCATCCTCCCCTGCCCCTCTAAGTATTATTAGCTGATACTTTCATTAACAATAATAAAGAAATACAACATTTAGTTTTCTGCAACATCAATTCACTAAGTTTAGAAGAATTTAACATTTCAAGCACATATGATTTCACTGGAATCCTGAAGTTTAACCAATTATCACAAATTAAATTTGATGATATGGAAATGTGAACTAAGTGCCAATGATTAAACCAAGATAATAAATTTGCACATGCTGCTTTTGGACAAAAGCCACTACAAATCAAAACATCTCAATCCATGAATTGCTTCGGTACAAATATGGGGCTAAACCCCAATTTCGCTGAACTTTCCATAATGAGGGAAAAAGAAAATCACCGGTATTAACGATAAGGTTGTAATGCCTGGATTTATTACAAGCACATTACTAAAAACTTTTATTATGTCCTTACATTCTGACAGAAATGTGTTCGTTACATTCTGCCTTTAGATGTGGTCACTAAGCATCATTACTTTAGAAAGAGACACTCTAGAGAGCTTTTCATAAAAGTATAATTTCACATTTTAGTAGCACCAGTAAGAAAATCTGAGTAAGCACCAGTAATGATGTTGAGAATATATATAATGGTTGCAACAGCAAGAAATTCCACTATTGTTCTCCAGATAGAGTTGCTACCTCATACTGGATCCAAACTCCCTCAACTAAAGGAGGTTTTAAAAATCCAATGAACACTTAAAAGCAGACACAGAGTCTAGCATAACATCCTTATGATGGTTCACTCTGAAAAGTACAGAGAACAAGTTCCTAGCCGACTTCAACATCCAATCATTTGCTTTGATAATTAATTCCAGGGTGGTAGAGAAGCACTAGAAGGTAAATGCCACAGGTTCCTAATGGGCCCTCAGACAGGTGCTTGGGACCTTAAAAAGGCGGCTGTAATCAGGTTAGAAGTGGCAGGGACATTGCTGTACAAAGAGTAATCTAAGCACCTAAAAGACTAAACTGGGAAAAATGATTAAATGTGTTAGAAGGCAGAAAAGAAAAACATTTAAAGTGACATTAAAAAACTCTGAAACTGTTTTCTATTTTTTAAAAGTTCAAAAGAAACCACAATGCATAAAGCTATCAATGTTTACCCAACAACTACTTGGGATAATAACCTGCCGAAACAACAAAAGTCACTCCCTTTTTACACGCTTCCCTGTTACTACAACATATGCAACACTCTGGGGTCTGCGCGTGAAATGTCTTTGGGTCGTCTGACCAAGCTTCCTTTTTCAATCCAAATGATCAACTTTTGTTTTTTCTTTCCAAAATACAAGTTGAAGCTCTCTTGTAGGTTTTGATCTATTTCATGCTTTTGAGAAAAATGAAAGCATACTCACAAAATACTGAGAATCTATCAAAACATTTTCTCAAGGTGTCACTGAGACGATTCTGTTTTACTGATGAAAAAGAGGTAAAGAATTTTCAAGACTTGGTTGATTCAGTGGGTAATCACACTTGTGACTCCAATCACTGAAAACACATGTATGTCACTGCAAAACTATAGGCAAAGCAATGAAACATTTTCTTAAAGGATATCAGCTGTTATATCAAATGTAATGAAGCCCAGATCACTTCTTTCTCTAGGTCCAGTGAAGTCTTCTACATTTTTTCTAGAAGTAAAGATAAAAAGTTTACCATCCTTCAAACATAAAGCATATAAAATCCATCCTTCAAACAAAACAGCATATAAAATTTAAAATAATGTGAGACAGTTATTTAGTTGTGTGCACAAACAGAACCATCTATAGAGAAACAACACAGACCCATCTATAGAGAAACAAGTTAAAGTCTGAAAAATCTGTAGATGTGAAACAGGATAAACATGGTAACACAGCATAAAATACGCGTTACAATACCGAATAAAAGGGAGAGGATGGTAAAAACTGCCTGGGGAAACTGTACATACTCAGTGTCAAGCAATGAGGAGAATGGGTAGAAGAAAGTTCCATATGACTACGGGGTGGGGTGCAAAACTGAGAAAATGATAGCCGCTGTGTAACGATGATTACTAGGTATCAGGGTCAGCTCCACCAATTACTTGCCCCAATGACTTAAAAACAATTCCCACCACCAGACCAGGGCTGGGGTCTTTCTTCCACTTCAAACACAATGAAAGCGATCGAAAGCTCAGGAAGGCGAGGCACTGGCTGAAAATGAACAGCTGACAGCAGCTATCCCGGTGTCTGCCAAGCACCTGCTGCTAAGCCCCCCAGAGCTGACAGCGGCGGCGCTGACTGCACCCTGCTTCTACGGGAATCGACAACACAGTGCCAGACATCCCTACCGCAGACAAGCAAAACACGCGGGGGTCGCTGTCAGAGAAGGGCTTGGCCGTAACAAAGAAACGAAAGAAACTAAGACGGAAGAACCTGAGAAAACTTGCCGGCGGATGCAATCGGGAAGGTACTAGAAGCCTGGGGGGTGGGGGGCAGGGAGGGGGCGACACCAAGGCTACGTGTCACAGAAGAGTGCTAGAGAGGAAAAGGAATAACGGGGGGGAGGGGCAGTGGCGAGAGGCCGCTGTCATCCCGCAGGTCTGTTTCCCCGGGTGTGCACAGACTGATGCAAGCAGCGGGTTCTCACA